TGCTTTGATGCTCCAGGTTTGCCAGCCCAGCCACCATTTGTCCTGCTACCATATCGTTGAGTAGCTGACTTTCCGACCGCATCCTATCCCGTTCGGACAAGTCACTGAAAAGTCGCAGAATTTTTGCGACTGATCGAAGTCGTGCCACGAAGTCCGTAATCGATTCCCCCTTTCTGCCTTACGGAGTGGAATTCTTGCCGGTACACTTCTTTGTGTAGGCTTCTGACGGCTACGAGCTTTATGTGTCGTAACAGCTCTTCCTCCGTGACGGAGTTTAGTACTTCTGCTCCTACCATATCGAACAACAGCCTGTTCACTTCTGGGGCACAGGCCGTTCTCAGCTCGTTTCTTAACGCTGTTGGCTCCGTCAACCCACACATCTCCTTGTATCTATTCCAGGAGTCAATGAATATCGCCCAGTCACCATCACTTGAGTCCGGTTCTATATTAGGTCTGTCGGGTCTCCTTGTAAGTGACTTTCTCGGCTGTCCTCCGTCTCTTCGCAGGGCGATGATCTCTTGCTGTAGCTCGATGAGCTGTCGAAGTAATGTCTGCTGTGTTTGTTCGTCCATATTCCAACGTTGTTTTGTAGCAGGTTTCCTATATCGGCGACGCCATGTAAGGTAGCAGCGAGACGACGTGTATCTGCCCTAGATACTCGTTGCCGTAAATGTCTTGTTTAAGTAGCCCCTCTCGCCTCTCGTGTAAGCGGGCGAGTCTACTTTATGGGGTGTGACGCCAAGACCATTCCGGTCTTGTAACTGGGCGTCTTAGGTTCGATTCCACCTCTACATATATATATATATATATATATATATATATATATATATATATATATATATATATATATATATATAAACCTAAAGAGTTAGACAAACCTACGCAATTCGTCAGGGCGGACTAACGATCTGCGTAGGTGAAACATAGGTTGGTTTGTCTGGCTCTGTGAGTTTACTTATTTTGCTCTACTTAGCGTAATAAGCAATTTGCTTAGTTATTTTTACTTTACTCGTGTCGGAGGTTTTTTTCTTTGAACTCTGAACTTAGATTTTAGACGATTATTTTCGCCGGAAGTATATGTCCTTAGATCTTTCTTTTTTCCCCCTTTTTTCCTCTTGGGTATTGGTTTGTTCATTGACAAGCTAAAATACCCAAGGTTTTGCCGGACGAGTATAACTGCTTATATTTATAAGATTATTAGTGTAAAGGGTGTCCAAAAATTTAGTGTGCACATTTAAAAATTTATAACTTTATTTGTATTTGCGATAGAAATAATCTGTAAAAAATGTTATAAAGTTTAATGTACCTAGTTTTAAGTATAGTTATTAAATAATCCTTTCCCACAAAATTTGCAATAATTTTTAGATAAGTAAAAAAAATATATTCTTTTTTTCAGAATCAATTTGATCCATGGCTTCAACTGAAGAAAAAGTAAGCTGTGTCCTTTGGTTGGCTGAACTGAAATCTATTGTTGCTGTACAAAGTAAGTTTAGAATTGAATACAATAAAGAACCACCTTAATAGGAACACTATTACTAAATGGATGAAAAAATGGACAGGCTCTGTCCATGATAAGCCACGGTCTGGAAGTCCATGTATCAGTGATGAAAGTGTTGCATCCATAAACTTAAATAAAATTTCAGTAAAAACTTAAAAAATATAGATTCACTTCTTTCTAATCCTTTTTACAAATTATTTCTATTACAAATACAAATAAAGTTATAAATTTTTAAAAGTGTACACGAACTTTTTGGACACCCTATATATATATATATATATAAAAGGAAGAGGTTATAGTAGTTCCAACGAGAGAAAAGTGTGTATATTAAAAAGAAGAGAGAAACCGCAAACGTTTTAAAAAATATTATGCTTTATTTTCCATAATTTTGCTATACGGGTTTCCGGTCTCATGATCGTCATCAGACAAAGGGTGGTGATTTCCACGTATCATTAAAAATAGTTAATTTTCTCCTTTATGCTTTTCGATGTTAAATATTCTCGATATGAGACATTTTTTTTGCGTTAGTGATCCAAACGTCTTTCTTGAACTGGCAACGAAAAGTTCTGCGTGTTGGGTTATAAAATAATTAAGATTACTTCGAGAAATGATGGAGTAGTTATCGGCATGCTTATCTTTTAATGACACCTGTCTGTTCTTAGATCTATTTCCATTTTCGTGTGCTTTTGTCAGCATGCGTGTATATATGTGTATATCCCCTCTCCATACATACACACTGTCTCACTACAAGGAACCAGTGAAAACATCTATACATCCAGACACACACACACACACACACACACACACACATATATATATATATATATATATATATATATATATAGAGAGAGAGAGAGAGAGAGAGAGAGGATTTTTTTTCAATAGGTTTTTTGTTATGGGATCTTACCCATAATAATAATAATGGACTATTCCATACTTAATAAATACTGCGCCTCAGAAGTAGGCTCAACTCTTGAACGACAGATCGGTTGAACTCTCTGCTTTCGGGCGGGGAGGACCCCGAAAGAGGCTACGCCTAGGGGCGGAGTCTCGTTCGGGGAGGTAAACCGGTCCTGAGCCCGTTTATACGGGTTCAATGGGCATATTTTGGGGCCGAGCCCGCGGGCTCGGAGAACCCACAATAAATAACCGACCTTGTGTCACATGCTGCCCCAGTGGGGGGGGGGAGACTGAATATCGTCAGTCGTTCAAGTCTTGACCGACTGTTCGGTTGAACTCTCTACCTTCGGGCGGGGAGGAACCCGAACGAGGCTACGCCGAAGGGCGGAGTCTCTTTCGGGGAGGTCAACCGGCCCTGAAACCGTTTATACGGGTTCAATGGGCATATTTTTGGGCCGAGCTCACGGGCTCGGAGATCCCACATTAAAAACCGGCCTTGTGGGGGGGGGCTGAATATCGTCAATAGTTCAAGTCGAGTCAAGAGTCGAGTCAGAGGCAGTCCGAAACAGAGTCGCGTTCAGACAATTACTGCAAGACATTGGAATAGTGATACTGGTCGAGACTACATTGTTCTCCCTACTAAACCTGATTGTTCATACTAACACTTTCTACTTCTCTGTATATATTCCTGTTTGTAATATATCTGTGTTATTCCATACCTGTGTTCGAGTTCTTCTTTATTGGTTCTACCTTGGACTATCACCGTGGTACAAGGAACCGGACCATAACAGGTTTATTGACATTCGCTTTTTGACATGGCCCGTTAGGTTAAACTTGCAAAACATTTTTATTTTAGTCTAATGAACAGAATGGTGGCTGAGTTTAGGTCAAGGTGGTAACAAGGCTGGTGTGCTGGTCGCGCGAAATTTCGATTTAAAAATCGTACGTTGATGACAGACACAGAAGGTCATTTACAGGATCTCCTAAGACACGGTAGCAAAGGAAAGCGAGAAGAAAGGACTATACATTAATTGCAAGATGGCAGCATGTATTATTGTTTTTAAGCGAAAAACGCAAAACAAAGACAGAACAAGATACACGTTACGAATTGAAGATGTGAAAATGCAGTCAAGTCTTTTTATGTGCCGTGTCCTTTCAGGACGTGGGCAATCATGGCCCTCCACTTTCTCCTATCTCTTATGGCTCTCAAAAGGTTTTGTGTTTCTGCCAACTCCCCCCCTCAAGACCACGCACCGCCATCTACCTGCCCAAGCCGGCCACGTATGTCATGGGTTGCTTTTCCCTTTTTCCTTCTCTTCGTCGCCTGAGTATCAGATTCTCCAAGCCCTCCTTTCTCATCACGTGTCCCAGAAATTTCATCTGCCTCTTGCTTATGTGTAGAAGTTTAAAATACATGCGAATTTTTCTTTTTTAAGACAATGAAAATCCGAACTCCCATTGGAATAACAAAAGATGCCTTCCTAAAGCCAAGCAAAGTATCAAGCAAAGGGAAGATTTTGTTAGAAAGAGAGAAAAGAGTGCTGGACTTTTGTGTAATATCAATTCTCTTGTATGGCAGTGAATGCTGGACAATATACTCACAGATGAAGAGATGGCTGGAGGCATCAGAAATGGAGTTCTACAGAAGGATACTGAGAATGACATGGACGAAGCGCGTGAGCAACAAATAAGTCCTAAGGAAAATGGATACAAAACGGAAACTTACACCCAGATTTAGAAAGAGACTGTAATTTCTAGGATGTATAAAGAGGAAAGTTGGCTTGGTAAATTTAACACTCACAGGATATATTGAAAGCAGAACGAAATAGGGAAAGGCAGCGGACCACCTACCTGAAAGGCTTGTGCGAATGGATAGCAGAATTCGGGGTGGGTGGCTTGGCATACGTTTTTTAAGAGCTACAAGGTATAGGCTCATGATCGCTTACGTCCTGACGTTGAATAGTCGAAACGTTAAATATTTGTTCTTTTTGTTTATTTAACGTTTCGAAGAGGAGGATGGTTTGCATTCACCACCACGACCACTACAATCATCATCATTAACGACAGCATCATCATCATCATCATCATCGTCAACTGTTGTTGATGTCCCAGACAAGGTTTTAACCATTTTTGCCTTTTACCAAAAGATTGCCGTAAGCGCCCAGCAACGAAGAAAATGGTACCCCAGTCTTGTTGAATTCTGAAATAATCTATTTTGTCATTTAAGCAAGAATTAGGGGAGGAAAAAAAATCGTACCTGCACTCCCACTCCACAGCCACACCCACACGCACGACCCACCCGCATTCACTCACACGTCCATGATTCCATCAAAATACGTTATGAAATGAACATAGTAAAATTCGTAGAAAATGAATGTTTACGTTCTGAGATTACCCAAGATACGCCCACACATATACACATATAAGTAGCTTAAAACGCCATCTTGCAAATTCTTCACCCTCCCCAGCTTACATACAAACACAGACAGACAAACAGGCGAGCGCGCGCGTACACACAAAAATACAACAAATGCATTTGTGTAAAAACAGGAATTTTTCTGTAACTCAGTCACTAGAGACGAGAGAGACTTTAGATTTTATCATGCCGTCTGTTTTTTTTTACATCTATCTATCTATCTATCTATCTATCTATCTATCTATCTATCTTAGTTTGTTCATATCTATCTATCTATCTATCTATCTCAGTCTGTTTATTACTCTCTATTTTTATCTCTTTCATATATATATATATATATATATATATATATATATATATATATAATGTGTGTATATGTATATATATATATATACACACACACACACACACATATATATATATATATATCTGTTCAATATCTATTTCAGTCTCTTTAATATCTCTCTCTTTCTATGTCTCTCTCTCTATGTCTCTCTCTCTCTATGTCTGTTCAATATCTATCTATCTATCTATCTATCTATCTATCTATCTATCTCAGTCTGATCATATCTATCTATATCTATCTATCTATCTATCTATCTATCTATCTATCTATCTAAACCTGGCTCTTATATCATATCTCTGCATTTCTATCTATCTATCTATCTATCTATCTATCTATCTATCTATCTATCTATCTATCTCGCTGGAACGTTATCCGAATCAATATTCTTGGTGGAATGTTTTTAAAATATGATATAGAAATCCCGTCAAAGATTTTAAAATTTGACAAATGGAAAACTTTTCATTAAAAAAAGAATTGATTACTCGTTTCGCCATTCTAGGCTTCATCAGATCCCAAAACGAAAGAAAGAAATGTGTTCCGACATAGATTTTATAAAAAAAAAAAAACGGAAAATTACATTTTAAATAATTTAAATGCTCTTTTTGAACAAATTTCGGTTCTATTTGAAAGATAATGACCTAAAGCTAATTACCGTATATAAATAAATATTTTCGGTCATTTTCAAACATTGGTAATTTTTTTCCTCACTCATCGACTTATCGAGTCGCCATTATATACGAAAAATATAAACTACAAATTTAAAATTCTCTTTAAATTCCAATATTTGTCCAAGAGATTTGTTTCGACGTCTCTTAATAATGGTAAGACTTAATTAACCGGTTTTTATAAAAATAATGCTTACTTTTTTTTTTATTTAAGACGGAAATTAAGATATTATTCAATTTACACGCGGTAACCTGTGAAGTGAAGGACAATATAAAAACATTGTAATTCTACCTGTCAGAAAAAATCGAAAAAAACTCCACTCGCTACAAAGTAAAAATAAAACGTAATAAATACGGAAAACCAGCAATGAAGTAATCAAGAATTTGTTATTTCTGTCCAGTCTGAAAGAAAATAAGGTTTTATACGATGCTGGCATGAATTCTCTCAAAATTGAGGATATTGAAATGCATTTTTTTTTAACACGGAGATAATTGTTTCAAATAACTTGATAGGTGGATAACTTGACTGACAAGCGGAATTTTACCTAATTTTTTTTTTCTACAGTAGACAAATCCGTAAAAATTACTTCATTCAGGACTATAACGTGAATACCTTTCTTATTTAATTTTTAACTAACCAGCAATGTTAAAAATTTAAGAATATATTTTCCATAATCCAATATTTCATTGAAGTTTAGATACTTTGGCTTTAAATTTACTATAGTTGTCGATCTTATTTTCTGAAAATGTCGCGCATGGCCGCCCGTATTCTCAAAAATCGGCACGTTTACACGCAGAGAAAAATTCAGCATTCTTTTAAAAATATTGAGGGTCGATGAATCGTATTAAGCTTTCCATTTCTGATTAGTGAATATAGTTTTTACTTAATAACAATATCACTTTATTGGTACATATTAATACAGAAATTTAAAATATTTAAAACTCTTGATTTAAAAATTCTTCTAAAAATCCATCATTTATTGAAATTCTTTTGTCTCATAGCAACAATGCCCATAATATATCTTATGCATAAAAGCAATTAAAAGATTTTCTAATTAAATAATGTTATGACATTATTTAATTTCATAGCATTTTTTATTTTACGATTCGGGGCAGATTTTCATTAAGCGGGGATCCTGTTTTACAAAAGAAATACATAAATGAAATAAAGAAAAAAGAAAAGAAAAATCTGACGATTTAAATTCTCCAAGGACTTCTGCTTTTAACTAATACAGACATTAAGCTCTACAAAATTTTAGTTCTCGAAATTTTATAAAACAAAATAAGTGGAAGGTAATAGATGTAAAAAAAAAAAAAAAATTACGAAGACTTTCTAAAAAAAGGATTTCTAAAATAATTTTATTCTTTTGCGAATAAGTCCTGAGAGTCTCATTAAGATCCAATAATTATTTGATTTTTGCAAGAATTTCCAAATCAGTATTTTTTTTTCATCGCGAAAAAGACGCTAAAATCTTCTATAGTAATCTTCGTTCCCCGCTAACGCAAAAAAAAAAATTAGTTTTTTAACCAAAATTTTGAACGTTTTAAAAAGAATAAAAAAAAAATTTAATAACCAAAAAAAATCCTTTGGTCTTTTCTCTTAATAATAACATAAACATTTTGACGTTTAAACTTTGTTTTTATTAAGTTTGGACCACTTTTTCATTATGCTATGCTGTTTTTTAGCGAGTAAGTGGTGGTAACTAAGAAATTGATAAAATCTGTTGGATTTATATACAGTGTAACCCGGATATAAGACACCCGGATATAAGAGAAACCCGGATATAAGAGAGATTTTCTCTGGTCCGAAATTAGAGCCTGTGTTAATGTATATAAAATAGACCAAACCCGGATATAAGAGAAACCCGGATATAAGAGACTTCTTCTCCGGTCCCGACAACTCCCTTATATCCGGGTCACACTGTATGAAAAAAAAGTCCATTACTTCCTCAAAAATTATTTGATATTGTATAAACTTTTTTTTACTGAAATAATATTTTCATGGATTTTTCTTTATAAAACTAAAAAAATATATATATTAATTTAGTTAGAGGAGTCTCTCCCTAAGTTAAAAAGTACCCACGGAATATCGAAAAGTGAATGGGAAACATACCCCCTCACACATATTTCCCCACCTTTTTTTAAATACCCTATTCAGTAAAAATATTTTTTCATTAATAAATACGTAATGAACGTTTCGTTTGAATAATCGAATAAGTTTCAGATTTCTGGCAAATATTTTAAAACAGCGGGTAGCGATTTTTCGCTTTCATTTCGGGTGGTTGGGGAAAAAAGTCCATTTTGGTGATTTCTATAAAATTTCAGAAAAGTATATTTAATTTTTGGAAAATTTTTTTTTTTAATAAAGGAAATTACATTGGATGACAAAAGGGCACTAAACAGCTATTTTTAGCCAAAAACTAAAAAAAAGGAAAGAAAAAAAAAATGAATCGACTCCAGTCTCTTTGAAATACACCAGAGACTATTTTGCTTACTGGAAATAGTAAATTTAATCTTTTAGCTTTCAATTAAAGCTAAAATGAAAGCTTCAAGAATGATTTTTTAAAATTTTATTTTAAACCTTAATTATCGCGAATTGAGGTATCTAAATATTTATAGGAAAATTGAGTAATTTAGATTTCGTATAAGATTTGAATGAACTGATGTAAATTGGAGTTCTTTGAGATTGTTAACACACCGTTTCTAAATAAACACAAACGTCCATGGTGGAACACACACAGTGTAAAAATGTAGACTTTGTGCGTTTTGTTCGTTTACAACTGAAGCAACACGTCGTTGGAAGGTTTAATTATGGCAAAGAGTCGCGCACACACTCACACAATCCCTTTCTCACTGACAGGTCAGATCGGAATGAGAAAAGACAGTATTGTGTTTTTCTGCCTCTTGCTGATCTAGTTACCATGACAACAGAATAACGTCATTCCTTTGCTACCACAACCATCTTGAATTGTCTACCCAACCGTTTTCTATTTCGTAATTATATTCAAAGGGGGAAAAAAAATGGAAAGGCAAGGAAGGAAACTGAAAGAAAGAAGGAAAGAAGGATTTCGTATCGAAAAAAATAAAAAAAGAAAGAAAGAAAAATGGAAAAGAAAAGTGCAAAAATATCGTCGTCGCATTCGCCGTGAGTGTAAAAACTAATCTGAATATAAATAACATACGCACCGAAGTGTCCGAAAACACGCACACCGTTTGTATATTATTATTATTATTATTATTATTAATTCTACGTTTAAGTTCTTCACACTTTCGAATTTTAGTATCTATCTATCTATCTATCTATCTATCTATCTATCTATCTATCTATCTATCTATCTCCGTCTGTTCATCTATCTATCTATCTATCTATCTATCTATCTATCTATCTATCTATCTTTTAGTCTGTTCATAGCTATGTTGTCTAGCATGGTTCATCTATCTATCTATCTATCTATCTATCTATCTATCTATCTATCTCCGTCTGTTCATCTATCTATCTATCTATCTATCTATCTATCTATCTATCTATCTATCTATCTATCTCGTCATATAATTGTCTTATTTTTCTCGACTGCCGCCCTCTTTATCTGCCATTGTTTATATCTTTATGTCATTTTTAAAAACATTTTTCGACAGCCAAGTGACATTAAAAAGTAAAAACAAAAGTTGAAGGAAAGAGAAAGAGAGAATGAGAGAAAGAGACCGTGCGTGAGTGTATGCGTCTGTGTGTGTTTGTGTGAGAGAGAGAGAGAGAGAGAGAGAGAGAGAGAGAGAGAGAGAGAGAGAGAGAGAGAGAGCTTAAGAAAAGGAAAGAAAATTCTGAAAGGGGAAAACAAATCATACGGAAAGAAAGAATGTCAATAATAAATATTATCTTGTCGGGATTAAATAGAACACGGGGCGATAAAACCCTTTCTCTCGCATGTGTGCGTACGCGCGCACGTCCGTCGGCAGAAACGTGGAAGGGGATGGGGGTGGTTTAAAGAGGAGAGAGAGAGAGAGAGAGAGAGAGAGAGAGAGAGAGAGAGAGAGAGAGAGAGAGAGAAAAACGCGGCAGGAGCGGAAGGTGAAGGACGCCGGGGTGTGGCAACGGGCTGGCAGGAGAAAGTGGCGCGAAAGATCAATGCGACCTTTAAATAGGGTCAGTGTCAAGTCACGTGACGCGCCTTCGCGGGAGGAAAAACTGTGACGGCGTTGGCGCAGGCGGCAATGTCGTTTTTAATGACGACCTGACTCGGCTGTTCTTTCTTTCGCCGCTCTGTTCAGGGTACTCGCCCTGCACCCTCCATATATATATATATATATATTACACAGAAAAACATTCAAAATTACCTTATGTGTGTATAACCTATTTTAGCCGGCGCAAGGTAATTTGGGATTTTTTGCTGTGTGATATATATATGAGGTCTCTTTGTGGATCAGTTTTAATATTTTACAGTACATTACTAGGATCCACCTGAATTATATACCAACACACACACACACACACACACACACACACACACACACACACACACACACACACACACACGCGCACACACACACACACACACACACACACAAATATATATATATATATATATAGGATGATTGAAAAGTAACTCCCTATTTTATGTATGATGGGCACACCGTCTTGTAAAAATTATAGTTAGACGTGAAAGTATATATATATCCGACTAGGTAAATATATGTAGGTTGGAATACGACCGAGCAATCGTATGCAAATACATATAAATACTCTATAGTGTTGGAAAAAAACAGTGCTCAATGTTAAGAAGCAGAGCTATTTAACATATGAATTAAGAAATGAGTTGCACAACGCGGAGTTTCATTCCCAAGCAAGTGCTGGAATTATAATATTTAAAAATAAATATATATATTTAAAATAAATATAATTTCAGCACTTGAAAATTGCTTTAGCATTCTGACTCTGAGTTGTTCAGTTAATGTAAGATATTATGTATATACTTTAATTCATATATATATATATATATATATATATATATATATATATATATATATATATATATTATATTAAGTAACAAACAACTTTAAGGGTTCATAGTGATTATAAAATTTATATATATATATATATATATATATATATATATATATATATATGTATTTGGGTACGATTTCCACTCTAATGCATGTTTCGTTAAAAATTATTAACAAAGTACTTGTTTTAATGCATTTTTCTTGTATGTAAACAAGAGATTTCTTGTTGTGACTCAGTACGTATAGAAATTTACACTGTTGTTTATTCGTACAAGTCACTTTTGCCGAAACTATTGCTCATCTTCAAGGGTTTTAATAGTGCTTTTGTAAATGGTGTCTAATTCGTCTTGTATGACATTTTTATTCCGTACTGAACCAAAATTCTTGTGTCAAACACAAAAAACCCACTTAGTCGGAATAGTAACTCATAATAGGCACAAGACAATAAAATAGACCTCAACCTCCTCATAAAATCTTAAAGGGAAAATATTTTATTTCAAAAGTACGAAAAAAGGTACAAATACAAAATTTGTTCAAAAATTTCCATTTGTTCGCCATAAAAGGCAGGCTAACATTTTCAAATAAAAAGAATTACTATCCAAAAATGGAAGAAATTATGATTCCAGTTTAGATAATCTAAGGATTCAGTGACTAAAAAAGAACAAAAATCTAATTCAAGAAGACTGAAAAAACAAAGATGCAACTTCCTTTCAGAAAATAAAAAAAAAGCAAAAAAAAAAACGTGGCACTTACAGTAATTTTAAAAAAGTCACTTTTAAATTCACACTGTCCTTGAGTTCTTTTTGTCCAACTGCAGGAGAATTTTCACTTGAACTTCATAATTCTTTACTCTCTCTCTCTCTCTGTAAAAGATGCATCTTGATGCTCTCATCTTGATGTCAAATACCTTCTGCCATTTGATGTCGATTTGCCTTGTCCCCTTGCTGTCAAAAAAGTCTCCTCCCCTGTCCAGTGACACTGAGCTCTATTTATTCAGAAATTTAGGCTCACGCCTCTCATTGGTCAGTATATACGAGAAAAATATTGTCCATAACCTTGAAATGGATCTTTCACAATTTTATGGGGTTTTAACTGCAAATGCACACACACACACACACACACACACACACACACACACACACACACACACATATATATATATATATATATATATATATATATATATATATATATATATATATATATCAAAAATATAGTTTTAAGGAAAGTTAAAGTGTTCAATATCAGGGCAGAGCAGTCTGTCACTGATGGCTGTTTACCTCAATGTATATATATATATATATATATATATATATATATATATATATATATATATATATATATATATATATATATATATTGTGTGTGTATTTAGGCAGAATTTTTTCATTGATGCATGTTTCATTAAATAATATAGACAAGTGTTGTCTATTTATTTTATGTAAATTTTTTTCATAACGTCTGCTAAGCTTAATAACATTATCATTAAAAGACGAAAGAAAATCACAATATTGTTACATATTTTTTTAATCCTATCTAAGCTTACGGCTTACATAAGCCATCATCAAAGATGACAATTATATTACAATATATTAAACAATACACGGGCATGGCAATAATGATAGTCTGTTTATGTTTGCATGGAATATTTCCAAGCAACGAAAAACTCGTGCATACGCGATGCTGGAAACGAAAATCGCACCGCGGCTCATGACATCACACATGATGATTTGATGATGGCTTATGTAAACGGACTGGTATCTCGGACAGATTCTGATGCTGAGTGATTGCTGGTAGATGATTGTCGAGAATGGTGGGCATTATTTTGAAGAATAAATGTTGACATTGCTCCATAAAATTTTGTTATATTCTTTCCGCTTCCTAAGTGAGTCAGTATTTTCTGTCCAACCTAATATATATATATATATATATATATATATATATATATATATATATATATATATATATATATATATATATAATAAAAAAAAAACAGACCACTAAGGTTCCATAGTTATAATTTATTTCACCAGAGATTTTATTTTTCTCTGGATCTTCAGACTTCACTTTCAAGGGTGAAAAAATGAAGTTAAAATTTTGAAGGGTAATATTAAGCTTATATAAGGTGATATAGAAGGTGGTGAGGGATAGTGTGAGAGACATGGTCGAATTTAGAGAGGCAAGGAAGAGTTTTAAAATTTATTTTTAATTTTATTTTTATTACAATACTTAATATTGAGGTGGAGGTGGGTAAGTATCAAACATTGACCTATTTAATCGGTCAACTCACCGGAAATGATATGGGGAAAAAAATTGAAAAGAAAAAAAGAAAAAAAAAAAAAAGAAAAGTAGGGAAGTAAACAGATAAGAAATAAGAGATGGTCGCAGGGTTTTGAAGGAAGAAAATATATATATATATATATATATATATATATATATATATAGAGAGAGAGAGAGAGAGGGATAAAACGAACACACAAACAAGTTGACAGACTCTCACTTAAGTCTAAGCATTGGGAGGTGACAGGGTAATGTAATTTAATTTAATGCATAATTATCCTCAGAGATTTCAGGGCATTTTCCTCATATACAGTTTTGTCTTTGTTTCATTCTAATCTGAGGAAGCCAAAGAGAGAAGACGCTCTTGGCGAAACGCGTCGTTAATGGATTTTACCCTTTGTCTCATCATCTTTTTTTTTTTCTTTCGGATATTATTATATATCCTACAAAACACAACGTCTGTCTGTTTAATGTTTTATTGTATTTTTACAATTTCCAGATATGATGCTGAGTATTGTGTTCGAAGTTTTGGATAAAATTGTCCGACTTTTCTTATTTTTGTTCATGCACTTTCGACTTTCACAGTCATTATCAAAAACGGATGTGGCGTCTGTGTGCTAGTTAGAATTCCTTTGTCTGCATCCTGGTATTCTTTGGGAAGCTAGATCTTTGAAATGGTCTAGGGTGACGTCATGTGTAACGACTAATGGAAACGAGGCTGCTCAAAATGAATGCGATTTATTTATTTTATCTTACTTTATTATTATTATGATACTTATGAAATATGTGCACACAATAATTATATAATATGCACTTCAAGTTACATTCTCCTGTGTGGAGTGATATTTTATATTGTTTATTTTGTATAATAACACTGGTCAACATAAAAAAAAAGTTGAAATGGTGTCGAGACGCCAAACATTTTTTTAGCTAATGGAAACGAGGCTGCTCTTAATCGAAATCTTAATCTGGAAATAACGTTACTTTTTTTTGGTTAGCTACCATTTTTACTGTACAGAAATGCCTCATTTTTTGAAAAAAAAATCATTTGTTTTCTGTATATATGATATTGACCGATGTCAATATTTTTCAAAATAAAATCGTAGAAACCTCTCAATTCGTATTTAAACCAACACATATTGTGTTTGAGAAATACTATTTTTGCAATAACAATCAGACCCTAAGTCTTTAAAAATAACACGATTGAATATACCAAGCCCAACAAGTATTTTCATAAAATCATTTAATAAATTAACAGCAGAAATAAAACCTTTGTGAACATAAGAACTATGGTAAAAATTTCTCTTTCTTGATTGTCTGTCATGTTCAATGTTATTTAAGTCCTTTTTGATATTCCAGCTGTATCATGTACAATGGAATAGGTGCATTCAATTGGGATGTCTTTAGTTGGAGTTTCTTCCGAAACAAAATGCTCTCAATGTGACTGGTTTCCTTCTGTAGTGAAGGAATAAAAGTGATGGGATAAATTTATGAATATCAAACAGAATATTTTAGGTTTTCATTTTTTTTGACGTCACCTTAATTATCAGGTTTACTAAAATGTATTACTGATAAGCTAATCAGTTAATTTGAATTTTGGCGATAAACTGGAAAAATTCGGTATTTCTATTTTAAAATTTTTGACTCAAAAACTCATTTTTCTCTTATAAAAATAATTTAATTCAGGTGGCTGACATAAATTTATCGGCCTACCTGAAAATTGATGGGTTTTTACGACCTTTATTAATTAAATTTTGCGATAAGCCAAGATCGTAAATTGATTTTTTGTTTTTTTTTTAAAATGAGCAATTTCAGTACAGCAAAAACGGTAGCTAACCGTGAAAAACTACGGTCATTTTCGGAATCAGCATCATCAAATTAGCTAAAAAAATGTATTTTGTTTCTTGGCACCAAAAATCGTGTTGACCAGTATAATAGCTTCTAGAATTTTGAGTCTTTCTTTGCATTGGGTGCCGTAGAGTATTTGGGTGTTTTCTACTAATAGTTGTTTTACGTTGATAGTTATACTTTAGTCGTTCATGATGTGTTGGTCGATGTTTGCACGGATTGCGTTTAGTTTCGACAGGTGACAAGTCAACCGGCGAGGGAGTGTGGTGCATGTTTGTCCAATGTAAGTTGTTTTTTTATTCTTAGTGTTGGAAATGCAGTCTTCCAGAAGCCATGAGAATTCACTGACAACATTATTGTTACACAGGGGGATTTATAAGGGCTGATGTTGTTGGTAATAATTAAGTTAGATGTTTTAAACTTATTGTAGGGGAGGATAAAAGGCGTTTGTTAGGATCATTGAGGGATATGTACAAGTAAATTATGTTTTTAATTGTTTTTTCCTCATGTTTATAATTAGTGTGCATTTGGTTACAAAAGAATCAATTAACGGTGTTTTTATTTTTGTTTGTGGGAGGGAGGGGTCGTTATTTCTAAATTTCGTTAAATCTAATTTTATTCGTCGACGACAACGTGTTTAGGGAAATTATTGCTGATTGGGGTTTGTTTAATGTTGATAAGTTTCTTATAGAAGAATATGTCCGAAAAAACAGATTACTTTGACTCGGTAAATAATGTTTTTATAATAGCTACTTTATATACGTAAGGATATTCAATTTTTATAGTGAATGAAACGGCATCGAATACTGGACGGTCTCCTCAAAGACGAAGAAGAGACTCGAGGCAACGGAGATATGATTCTACAGAAGGATGCTGAGGATATCATATACTGAGCGTGTAGGCACGAAAAAGTTTTGGAAAGGATGCAAACAAGGAGGAAGCTTATATTTAACATCATTAAGAGACAGCTGAAATTTCTTGGACACGAGATGAGAAAGGAGGGCTAGGAAAATCTGATACTCACAGGTCGAACAGAGAGAAAAAGAGACAAGGGAAAGCAACGCATGGCATACCTGGCGGGCTTGATCAAGTGGATGGCAGAACGTGGTCTGGGGGGAGTTGTCAGAAACACGAAACTTATTGAGAGCTACAAGGAATAGGAGGAAGTGGAGAGCCATGATCGCTTACGTCCTAAAAGAAGACGGCGCATTCAAAGAAGAAAAAAAGAAGCAAAAACATTGAGTCAAAAAATGTCACCAGTTTCCTCAAAGGCAATCATGGACCGAGCGTGTGAGCAACGGTGACGTTTTGGAGAGGATGCAATCAAAGAAGAAACTTATATTTAACACCAGGAAGAGGGAGATGAAATTTCTGGGACACGTAATTGGAAAAGAAGGACTGGAGAATCTGATACTCACAGGTCGAATAGAAGGAAAGAGAGACAAGGGAAATCAGCTCATGATATGACTGGCAGGCAAGTGGATGACAGAACGTAGTCTGGGGGAGTTGTCAGAAACAGGAAACTTATTGAGAGCTACAAGGAATAGGAGGAAGTGGAGGGCGATGACCGCTTACATCCTGAAAAGACACGGCACATTAAAAGAAGTAAAAGAAGCCAAAACATTGAGTTAAAAAATGTCACCAGTTTTCATCTAAGGCTATCATGGACCGAGCGTGTGAGCAACGATGATGTTTTGGAGTCTATACTTAACATCAGGAAGAGGCAGATGAATTTTTTGGGGCACGTAATGAGAAAAGAGGGACTGGAGAATCTGATACTCACAGGTCGAATAGAAGAAAAGAGAGACAAGGGAAATCAACTCATGATATGACTGGCAGGCAAGTGGATGACAGAACGTGCTCTTGGAGAGGTCGCAGACGGACGAAACTTATTAAGAGCTACAAAGGACAGGAAATTGTGGAGAGCCATGATCGCCTACGTCATAAAAAGAGACACGGAGCATAAAGAAGAAGTGAATGAAACACGAGTTTACACTAGTGGTTTATTTTTGTAAAGAGAGGTATTAAAAATATGGCTAAAGTATGGCATCGACTAATACGTCAATGAAAGGAAGTTTAATGTTAATGTTGAGTGTAGAACAGATTTGTTCTCAAAGGTTTCTTTCGTTTTATTTTTTATTTCTTTTAATCTATTTGTCACACTTATTATCCGAGAGTTGCACGTTGGATCAGTTATTTTAATTTCAATTAAAATTATCTCGGATAATAAGTGTGGCATTACTGTAATTATTGAACAATATAGTTCATGCCATATTCATGGAAAATCTACCAGTAAAAAATAATTCTCTTATTGCTATATTTGTACAAAAACGCAGAACCTTAAAATTTAAATTCAAACTCAGCGTTTCGACCGCACGTTCCAAAACAATAACACATTTCTCATAGCATTTTTTCCGATTACATCTCTATTTTCATTGTCCTCTTATTACCGAGAAGTAAAAACAAGAACTAAAACCTACTTCCATACCTGATGATGTCTGTAGGAACAGACGAAAGATTGTAAAAAATTAAAAAGACCTTATGCAACTGGAATTTATAAACGGGGATCATATCATTCATATACAGGTTCGGGGTTGATGTATCTTATTTATATTGTTTACGACGATGTATTCTCGCCATTTAAATCATTAACCTCTATATTTGTTTTTTGTATGAATGATTCATGAATTTATAAATTATATTTGCACCTTTTAATTGAAATATATATATATATATATATACAGGACGCGATAGATAAATTGCCGTCTAAATTACACAAAAATGAAAATAACCAAAATTACAAAAAAAAAAAATATATATATATATCTTGAAATACTAAACGGTAAATTTATTCAATGAAATTGCCATTGGCTTCAACCACGGCTTCCAGAGGACTTCGCTATCTCCTGTATTTCTTCAGGGCGGTCCCCTTGCTTAACTTGGTGAATGCTGTCATAATCCTTGCCTTCAGTTCATCTATGCTCTTACAAGAAGTTTCGCTCAACTACGTCCCACGCATAATAATCAAGGGGGGGGGTTACAGTCCGGGGAGTAAGGGTAGATGTGGTTGCAGGAATTGTCTCACAGCCATAACTGGGTTCTTCTGCTTGCGTGGCATGTTGCAGAGTCCTTTTGTCAGATACAGAGTCTTTCAAAAGCTACCCTCTTGACCCAGGGCAGAACTACTTCCTCAAGGCACTTGGTGTAAGCCTCCGTGTTGAGTTTGAAGTCCTCACCAACAAATTCGGGATTTCTTTTATTCTTACAAAATACAATTTTTATTATTCTAACCTAATTATGTACAATAATAAGATCATATGCAATATAGGTGAACAATTCAACTAGAAAAAAATGAAAATAAATACAATGTATCTAAATGCAAATTAGAGACATGTCATAATAGATCATTCAATAAACCAACAGTGTTTTGAGGCAATTTTTAACACCAACTTCGCTAAAGATGGAGGGGAAATGATCGGTTTCTTGTAATTCAGAAAGTACCTATCTCTTTCTACTTTGCTTTATCTGACTTTTAAGATTTATTAAATAAAAACTATTTAAGATACTGGCAGGGAACAGAGAAATCATTCGGCAGCCATGTTGTCTATTATCAGTAAACCTTCAATTTGAGGCAAGATGTCTGCAGAATTTATCATCGCGGATCGAAATTTGGTCTTTATCCCAAAACAATCAACAGTTGCCTTCTCAACCAGTCTCCATGCATGAAAGTCTTTTAGGGCTTAACTTCATCTCAGACCTTAAGTGGATCTTAAATATATGATCCATCGCTAAAGATTGAGGGGGAAATGATCAGTTTCTTGTACTTTCTACTTTGCTTTATCTTTAAAATCTTCTTAATTTCTATTCTTTTGATATCTCGCTACTTAATAATGTTTTTCTTTTTCTCTTATTACAAATATTATTATTGCGTCTTAGTGGCTTTGTTGTCTTGCTTTCGGTTAAATAATTAAAAAAAACCTGTTCACTATAACATTTACATTATTTCTGTCTTGATTTTGACCTCTTTAATTCATCACATGCATTTTGGGCTATCCCTCTTGTTAACATCCCGACATTCTCTCCTCTAAGTATTTAAGGCTAGTCCTTCCTTCTCGATTACTTTTACGCTTCTTGTTTAAGAGTTCCTGCAGTTTTCTTTCTGTGTACACAATCAAATCTATGTCATCTGCTCATCTTATTCTGTTGAAATGGTGTCCACCAAAATTAATTGCTTATAGGCAGGGCTGGTGCAAACAGTCTCACGCTCCCCACAAACTATGATGCAACCCCCACCCCACTCTACTACATCTCAATTGTCAGAAGGTAGTATTCATATAAAATAAAAATTTTATTGTAACTTAATTATGTACAATAATGGATCAGATGCAATATAGGTGAACAATTCAACTAGAAAACTTGGAAATAAATACAATGTATCTAAATACAAATTAGAGACATGTCATAATAGATGATTCCATCTTAAATAAATCAACAATGTTTTGCGGCAATTTTTAACATCAATTTCAGATTTTTCTTGTTAAAAAATTGAATAATTTTAACATATTCAACATTACGGATAGATTTTAGATGGAGTTTTTTCGGGCCTTAGCATGAACAAAACAGACTCAGGGATTTAGACGAAAAAAAAAAAAATGTAGAAACCAGAATGAGGTCAAAATTCGCCGAAAATCTTCCCTCCTTTAATAGTCCGTTAGGCTTAGTCTAATATCTAACTTATAAATGTAGGTAGAAAATAAGCCAATGTTGATGAGATAGTGAGGGTCACAATGAACTGCCCACGACCTCTAATCAGGCTCCCTCCTCGTTCGGGGTGGGTGCTCGGAGGTGGTACGCATCGGCCTTGATCTTACGTTCCCCTTTGTAAGGGAAATGCAGTATCTATTTCCAATGCAAAGTATAAACTATAATAACGTGCGAGGTATATATATATATATATATATATATATATATATATATATATATATATATATATATATATATATATATATATATATAATAAAGAAAACAGTAAGATATATAATCCGGTGTTCTTATAGATATTTTTATTTTTACAAAATAGTGCTCAATGTAAATTTAAAGAGCATTAATATTATAAATTAATTGATTTAAAATATGTTTTTTTTCTGCTACACAGTTCTAACCATGTTTCAAAAATGGAAGCTAAAAGCAATTAATATATATATATATATATAACGCCGTGAGCCCCCAATCTTATATTCCCACACGGAATCTGTGATACAGCTCCCCACTACCACTTTACTACATATCAATTTTCATAAGGTAGTATTCATATAAAATAGAAATGTTATTGTAACCTAATTATGTACAATAATGGATCAGATGCAATATAGGTGAACAATTCAACTAGAAATATTGAAAATAAATACAATGTATCTAAATACGAAATTAGAGACATGTCATATGATTCCATCTTGAATAAATCAACAATGTTTTGCGGCAATTTTTAATATCAACTTGAGATAATATTTGTTAAAAAGTTGAATTTGAACACTCAGCATCATGTATAAAATTACGTTTTTTTTTTCGAACCAAATTTCCAGATTTGGACGACAAAATTAAAAAAGACTCTAGAATGACGTCAAAATGCGCGAATATTTTTCTCCTTTCATAGTTAATTATGCGTAGTTTAATTTCTAACATATATAAATGTAGGTAGGAAAAAGCAAATGTAGATAAGATAGCGAGGGTCACAAAGCAGTGCCCGGGATTCCTGTCAGGCTTTCCGTAGGTGGTAGTACGCACCAGCTCTTTCCATCAGTCAGTTATATGACATGCGTGATACACGTTTAGGCGATCATGTATCTTTCGATACATGACTGACGAGGCAGATTTTTTTCCCGCAGTAGGTTGCCATTTCTTTCTACAGTAGACTAGTTGCCATCCAAGTCTATAGAACACGATCTGTCCTGCTATTTACCCATAGCTGGGGGGGGGAGAAGAAGAGGATTTATACCTTTCCCAAGGTTATTAGCACGTAAGTAAATGCAGTGAATTCGACTAGAAAATCAGTCAGTCAGTTATGTGCCATGCATGACAAACGCTTAGGCAATCATGTATCTTTCGATACATGACTGATGAGGCAGATTTTTTCCCGCAGTAGGTTGCCATTTCTTTCCGCGGTAGACCAGTTGCCATCCAAAGTTATAGAATCCAGTCTGTCCTGCTATTTACCCATAGCTGGGCAGGGGAGAAGAGGATTCATGCCTTTCTCAAGGGTATTAGCACTTAAGTGTATGTAGTGGGTTCGACTGGAATTTGAACTCGGCTCTCAGATTCTTCAATCCTAGTCGCTATCCATTACTACATTGTGGCTCCTGCTCTACCCACAGAGATGTCAATATACCCACGACATAACTCTGGTGTCTGTTATTGTGATTTGAATGCTTTGATGTCTCATTTCAAAATAATCAAGGTACCCATTGCTTACCCATCCTTTATTTATTTACTCTGTCTTTATTTATCATGTGTAACATATTTGCTTTTCGAATGCACCAGGAAGTGCTTCAAGGAGACTCAGCGAATTTCTTCCTATTGTAAATAAACAATTGAAACTTGTAAACAAACAAATGCCTTTTGAAAATCTTTACCTGTGATAAAGAAAAGATGATTTTAATGTCACAATCCACAACTCCTTGGAGTAATCAGCTCTTCACATATTAAAAACCTAACAGAAACAAACCTGGTTGAAAAAATATGGCGAACTCAGAGGAATAAATATGACCAATAAGCTCATGGCTAGTTTAGATACTAAAGCCCTGGATAAGAATGTTTGTCAGTAAACACAAAACAAACTAGTACAATAAAAAATAAACCTTTCGCTACCAATAGATAAAATCATAACAATTTGCCGACTCATTCACAAAATGTCATTTCACTTTTAACAATGATTATCATAACAGAAATTCGAATTACCGATGGGATCACCTCTTGGCGTAACTTTAGCCTGCCTATTCTTAGAGTTTCTTAAATCTGGTCCTTTCCAACGTATGTTACCGAAACAATAAATAT